GTTTCCGCTGAACGGATTTTCCTGAGGAGCCATGTCAGCTATGAACGATCCAGCCGTTGGGAGTGGATATAGACCAGGTACCATACCATTATTTGTGTCCGAATATGGTTTGGTTCTGGAAGAGAGCTTTTTGAAATGGGGGATCAGGATAAGGATGATGGGCGGGAGGAGAAATTGGGGGGGGGGGAATATAATGACGAGTTGAAGCAGCGGCAACAACAGTCGCATCAGCACGCGCTGTGGCATGGGAGGGAGAGGGAAAGGGGGTGTCGGGGGGGGGGTTGGCTGTGCGTCTGTGGCCAGGGCCGCCGGATCGGCATTCGACATCTACTGCCAGCAGTTGTCGGGACAATTCCGATGGGCAAAGTTGATCGCCTTCGCAGTTTGGGCGCCTTTGGGTGGGCCGATGGGTTACGTGCGTCGCACGGCCTGGCACCATCCTGTATCGTATTGCGGTGCCGCGTCGTCTTGCACAGTGTCGCTTCGCACTGCGTCATCGTTCGTCATGCCGCACAGCCACGTCGCATCCTGGACGGGTGCTTGCACAATGTCGGGAGTGTACACATCGCACAGATGAAGCTCTCCTTGTGCTTACATGACATCCACCTCAGATCATCTGACATATTTAGCGTCGATCTCCCGTTGCCCATGAGAAAATGCACTCAGGCAGGGCAACATTGAGGCAGACCTTCACGACTGGGTGCGGATCGAGAGATTACCGAATGCGCCGTCACCTTCCGCCGTTGACTTCCTGAGGACTGCCTGCGGCCGGGGCAGCGGCCAGGATGTTTTACTATGCGACTGAGCTGCCAGGATTCGTTATGATGCCGATTGCCATGTGCACAGCACGCCGCGCACGATTGTGGCATGTCGGGCAAGCATGCCCAACGTGTTTTATCGTTTTGTCTTTGGGTGTTTTGAATGTGAGAGTGCGGGTCTGCTTGCCGACGGCGAATTCTTCACATCTCGTCGCTGTCGCTCCCGTCCCAGGCCTGAGTTGTGGTGGGGCCTTTCGAATTTGGCGAGCCAGGTTCCTATGATGAGCTTAGTCGTTTACCATCACAGCGTCCGCCACATGTTGATTATTCAAGTGGCTAACGTCATTCCGCCGACCCCCAGCAGAGTACAGACGGCCAGGGTGTTCGGTAGGCTGTGTTGGAGCTGGAGTGGGTAGGTGTTTTTTTCATGCCCGCGAAGATGGAAGAGAAGGATGAGGATGAACACGAGGAGGAGGAGGAGGAGGAGGAGGAGGAGGAGGAGGGTGGAGGGAGGAAGGACGTAGTTTAGGGGTGCAAGGTGGGGCTGTTTGAGCTTGTCAGAAGGGCTGCTTGAAGGCGTCTGGGAGGTCTCCGGTGGAGGCTCTGGGGAGCTTGTTCCCCACATATTTCGTAGGGGTTCTGGTTTTCTCCCCTGCCGCGTCGCATCCGCGTTTCTCCTCCTCCTCCTCCTCACCCTTTTGCTTCTCCGTCCCACTCGCACTCACAAAATCGCCGTGGCAGACGTGGCTCTTCTTCGACACCACAGGTGGTGCTGGCATTTCCTCGATACCACAGGGGGTGTGGTGGGGGCGGTCTCCCTATCCGTTTCGGGTTCGCAAAGCGTGGCAGGCGTGGCACTTCCTGCAACGTCGCACCCGCGTCTCCTCCCTCACTCCTCCCTCTTCCCCTCACCCGTCTCCTCCTCCTCTTCCTTCCTCCCTTCACCCACGCGCAACACATGCATGGCACATCCATGAGACACGCGTCAACATACTGGGCACCCAAATGAGATCCACATCCAGATACAGCCGCACACGCATCATACACATGACGCGCATACCACACAGCACATGCGCGCAAGATTCGCAAGGCGTGGCAGGCGTGGCACTTTCTCCACACCATAAGGGGGTGCGCAGGGGGTGGTCCCTAACCTCGGCCTCTATCCGTCCTAGGGTCGCAAGGCGTGGCAGGCGTGGCACTTTCTCCACACCATAAGCGGGTGCGCAGGGGGTGGTCCGTCACCATGGTCTCTATCCGTCTAAGGGTCGAAAGGCGTGGCAGTCGTTGCATTTTCTCGACACCAGAGGGGGCGCGCAAAGGGTGGTTCCTCACCGCGGCCTCTGTCCGTCCCAGGGTCGCGGGGCGTGGCAGGCGTTGCACTTTCTCGACGCCAGAGCTGGTGCGCAGGGGTGGTTCTTCACCTCGGCCTCTATCCGTCCCAGGGTCGCGGAGCGTGGCAGGCGTGGCACTTTTCGACATCAGAGGGGGTGCGCAGGGGGTGGTCTCGTCTCTATCCGTCTCAGGGTCGCAAGGCGTGGCAGGCGTGGCAGTTTCTCGACACCATAGAGGGTGCGCAGGGGCTGGTCCCTCACCGTGGTCTCTATCCGTCCCAGTCGCAGGGCGTGGCAGGCGTGGTACTTTCTCGACACCAGAGGGGGTGCGCATGGGGCCATGTCTCGCCGTTGCATTCCATCAGGTGCACTAGCAGGGTTTTGCGCAGCATCTAGATTTGTAGACACTTTGGCTCAAGCCAGCTCGGAGCGCCAGGGTACCCAACCGAAGGTCGCAGTTGCTTGTTGGTTGGTGCGCGTATACCATAACATAGGTATGTGGGGTTCCTCGGTAGTGTAATTGTCAGCTCCTGGTGGGCTCGTGGGGTTGGCTGGGAGCTTTGCGGAAACGCCTCTACGTGTAATCGATTTGAATGCCTCGTGGAATGTCTCTCAGGATCCTCTTGGGCTTTGGGTGCATCCGCTTTGGGGGGGGCTGTTCGGGCTCTTTTGGGAGCATCTCGGGGGCCACTTGGCGTCCTCTTGGGGGCCTCTTGGGGGCGTCTCGGTCGTCTCTGGGGGTCTTCTGGGATTATGACGTGGGCGCAAGCTACGAGATGTCAGTTCATATTGCTCATGTTGAGGCTTTCTCGCGCCCTCGTGGGCCGTTTTAGGGGCCCCTGGGGCCGCCTTGAGGCCCTCTTGGGCTGTTTTGGGGCTGTATTGGGCCGTCTTCGGGTCCTCTTGAGGGCCTCATGGGCCGTCCTTGGACGATCTTGGGGGCCCCTTGGGCTGTATTGGATACTGTCAATACGAAAAAACGGGCACGTTGGAACTGTACGCTTCCCCATGGGAATGGAATGATTTTTGCGTCTTGCGGCCCTCTCAGCGGTCCTCTGGGAGCACTCTTGGGCAGTCTTGGGAACCTTGTGGGCTGTCTTGAAGCCATCTTGGACCGTCGCAGATGTACCCTTGGCCGTCTCGACGCTCTCTTGGACTGTCTCCACACTGGCTGCTTCTTTCAGCGCTTCAACTCGAGTGCGCCGCGATCGCCTGCGCTTTCGGGGGGTCCTGCCGCCTCCCCCTCTCGTGGAGACGTCAGCATCCCTGACGCCTCCGCTGTGGAGGAGATGGAGGGCCCCTCGCGCTCTCCGAGTGATGACTTTTTTTTTCCCCTGTCTCTTCGGATCGTCTGGACTTGCCGCCTGTTTGTCGGCGTCCAGGCTTCCAGCTGAATCCCCGTACGCGGTGCTCCAGAGCGTTCGTTCGGCTCGTGCCCCTTGAAGATGACGAGTGCCCATTCGTGTGCGTGTGTTAGACTGTTAGGCGGGCCCTCAGGTGATTCTGATTAGGTTCCTGTCATGCTGGCGTCCTCCACCGCCGTCAGACTTCATGCTCAAAAGAAATATCTTGGACTGTCTCGGCTCTCTGCTCGGGCTTTTCGGGCCGTTTTGAGGCTCTGGAGGCCCTGGGAGTGTGTTTGCGAGCTCGTGCCCCCTCCGGGGTGGGTGGGCCTCAACTAACATGTTGTACCCTTGGTGAGGAGGAAATGGGGAGGGGGACAGCCAATTATCTCACACGCCTTGTCACCCCCAGCAAGCGGGGACCGGCAAATCATACCAGAGTGGGGTTACCCTTCCGCACAAAGTCATATTTGGCGCGTCGTCCATACTACGGGCGCGTAGCGGTCGTTACCCGCCCCCCTCCCCAGGTAAGGGTACCGATCGTACGTGGGGCGGGGGCCTGGATCCCCCCACACATACAGGTGCTCCCCCGCATACTGTGGCCATCGCAGCGCACCCCCGCCCCGACGTGCCCCACCCCGCCCAAGCGTACCCTGAGGTACCCGTCGTCTTCCCCTTTCTCCAGTTCTTTCCCTTGCGTCCTTGACCTCTTCTTTCGCTTGTCCTTCGTCCTCGGTGTCATTGTGTCTTTGTATTTTTTTCCTCCGGAAAGGGCGGACGCCCAGGGTTTTTTTGAGTAGGTCATCCTGCCAGTTGTGCCTCTACTGAAGAAGGCCAGCGGATTCTTTGCTCGATAAATGACGGGGTCGAAGAGGGCCGGCGGATGACGGGAAGCGCCTTCTCGGAACGAGATGGTGATGGGAGTTTGTTAGAGCAAGGTTGATAAGGAACAAACGAGAACTAAGACGCGAGGGATCCACGGGCTCGCGATCGCAAAATGTAATTCGGTCGGCGGATGATGGGAAGCGCCTTCTCGGAACGAGAAGGTGATGGTTGTTGGTTAGGCTATGCTGAATCAGTAATAATGAAGAACGAACTCGCGCGGGACAACTGGCTCGCGATTGTAATTGCTCATCGCTTGGTGACGGGAAGCGCCTTCTCGGAACGCGAAGGTAATGGGAGCTTGTTAGAGGAAGAGGAAGCATGAGTAAATCAATAACAAGTTCGAGAGACCCCATGCTTGCGATTGTAAAAGATAGCTCACTCGGCGGATGACGGGAAGCGCCTTCTCGGAACGAGAAGGTGTTGGGAGTTTGTTAGGCTATGTTGCATAAGGAATACATTAGGAACAACCTCGCAAGGGACAACTGTCTCGCCGTCTAAAAAAGGTTGATCGCTCGGCGGATGATGGGAAGCGTCTTCTCGGAACGAGAAGGTGATGGGAGTTCCTTAGGCCATGCTTACGATCTACTAATAAAGAACAGAGACGCGAGGGACAACGGGCTCCCTTCTGCCCGGTCCTCGTGCCCCGGCGTGGGCGCGCGTGCGAGACCCCACCCCCCGCCAGGATGGGCGGCGGCCCGCACGGCGGGCCGCCGGTCGGGCTCCTCGTGCTGATCGTTCTCTGCTCCGCCGCGCTGCTTGGGGGCGTGGCCCCGCCGCCCTGCCGGGGCGGGTGGGGGAGAGGGGTCGGGTGCATGGGCGGGCGGCGGGGGCGCTTGTTGTGGGGGGCGGCGCGGGGCAGCAGACGGGGGCAGGAGGAGGCGGAGGGGGCAGGAGGAGGAGGAGGAGGACCAGTGCAAAAAACCAAGAGTCCTCAATGATGTTGGAACAAACTCTCCCCCCAAGCTCCCTCTTCACAGGCACCTACAACGGTTCGTTTCCACTGATGGAACTGCCTCGTTGGAAGACAACTTTTTGAAGAGCCTGAAGCGTGCCGAAACATTATATTCGGGACTCCAACGCCACGGCCCAACCGGACTGTTGAGTATTGACGATCCTGAACCGCGCCAGAACGCCATTCCTAGGACTCGAATCAACGTAACTGTTCCACCTTCGTAGTATCCAACCTTTCCAAAACAGTTTTTCTTGTACGTTGACCATGGGCATCCGCGAAACGCTGGCAGTTTTGAACAACGAGTGCGCGCGCCGCTGAGGCGAGAACCACATTTTGAAAGTGAGCCGCCCCAATCCCGTGAAATGCCTGCAGCTATCTAAGAAACATGTGCGCAGCGCTTACACGAAAGGCGCATTTTGAAAACCACCCGCCCTCAATCCGTGAAGCTCTTGCACATGTTGAAAGCGAGTGCGCGCGGCGCTGAGGTGAGCGCCACGTTTTGAAAACCACCCATTTTCTGTGCGTGAATCTGTTGTCAATTTTGATGTTTCAGGGTCACTCATGGTGAGGAAATCCCAGGCAAAACGCCCGCCCCGCCTTTTCGACCGGCTTCGGAGTGCGACAGGAACAAAATATGTAGAAGGAGTAGGAATGGAGGAGGAGGAGATTGACGAGGGGTAGAAGGAGAAGAAGGAGGAGAAGGAGGAGGAGGAGGACGAGGAGGACGAGGAGGTGGAGGAATAATAATAACAACAAAACGCTAATAATGAGGACAAGAAGCGTAATATTCAGAGAAATAGCAATAATAATGATATGAGACAGAAGAAGAGGAGGAGGAAGAGGAGAAAGAAGAGGAGGAGAGGGAGGAGGGGGAAGAGGCGGAGGAGGTGGAGGAGGAGGATGAGGAGGAACATGAGGCAAATGACAAGCAGGAGGAGGAGGATGAGGAAGAGGAAAAGAAGGAGGAGGAGGAGGAGGAAGAGTTGTTACAACATGGCGTTGCGACTGGGTGAGAAGGGTGCATGCGCTCAGCGTTTAGGCACATTGTGTAGCAAGAGATCTGACCGGCAGCAGAGGTAACGTGTCACGTGTTCGCACCCTCTGTTGTCTGATGTTGGTTCAAGTATATTTCTCCACTGGACAGGGGCGCCGACCACATTTTCATGGTAGGGGCTCGTGGTTCGCCCCACGTGTTCGGTGCGCGCGGTTAATTCCGCGAAGCACACGTGTCCCTGCGATGGCCGCGCATGCAGCCGCAATGGCTACACCGAGCCCCGGCACAGACGACTCAGGGTTCGATGTGTCGTTACTTGATGTCCGTGGAACGTGATGGAACCTGGGCGCTAACCGGATTGCGGAACTGTACATACAACGCTGATTACGACAACGGATGTTTCAGATATGCTGCCACCGCCTTAGAAGCCAATCGTGACTGGATTAGATTGCTCTTCGAGCGCAGCGCCACCCTAAGCGCTAGGACTGTCAACGAGGATGAGGCGTTCTCGATGATACATCGGAGTTGTAAAATGAGCGAACGCCCTTGTTAAGTCTGTCACCAACCGCAACATGTAGTGCGAAGAACAATTCAGCAGGTCGACAGAAAACGTCAGGACATAGTTCCAACGTCAAGCGAACACCTCGGAGCACGTTACAAACATTGCCGAAGCTATAGATTCCACTGAACCATGAGGGTCGGAGGAGTACAGGGCCTTCCAACAGTTAAACGTTTTTTTGGTGACCGGACCACATTCAGGGAGTGGAACGAAAAGTTGCTGAACGCGCTCGCACATTCTAACCATGGTTATGGGACAGCCCGGAAACATTTTTTGACCACGAATTCGAAACCATGGATGGGGCGTTAGAGGATGACGAAGACGAAGACCTGATGAAACATATGAGCGGGAGGTAAGCCCATAGCAAACATTCCAAAACGTCAACCTCTAAAGATGAAGAAGACGACGCTGAAGGAACAGACGAGCGGATGGATGACGATTACGCCAAGATGGACGAGGATATCTGGTAGTTGTTCAATGACATGTTGGAAGGGACGGAGTAGCAGGGGAAACTCAAGGGCTTGAACGACGGAGATGGCAACATGGCGTGCCAGAAAGTTAATTATATACATGTTACCCGGCCTCTCCAGGGGTTACAGTGTCGCACAACATGAAGCTGACCAGAACCTGTAATAAGCCAAGAATGTTAACGACGTGGTGACGCAGCTGGAACTTTGAAGTGTGCTGGTAGAGTCCCTTGAGAAGTGCGGTAGTTCATGCTCGTTGTCTTTGCCGTTCAGGGTCGCCGCATTTAGGATCATCGTGGCCCGAGCGGGCGAATCGTTTGACAGCTAGCAGCAGGACTGCTTCAAGACGCTGGAATCGTAAACCATTGGCACCAGGCAGAAAACCTTGATCAAGCGCAAGGGATGGGCCAGAAAGAACTAACTCACTGGGCGCCGACACGAGGAACGACGACTCCATGCACATCGGCCAAGGTAGCGATGAAGACACCGGGGTGTGGGGCACGAGCGTGAACGAGTCTGGTTATTAAGGCGAAGGCGGGAGTTGCTGGACCTGTACTGTACGTGTCCTCTTTACTTGTAGCACGTGGGTCATTTTGCATTTGCGTTTTCGCCGCGGAACGCCAGCGACTGCGCCGCGCGCCAGCTCGGGGGTGCGGGGCCAGGAGAGCGGCGTGGAGACAATGGCTGTCGCCCAGGATTCAGGGCCCCACGGCGCGGCTTGGCCTCCGAACGCGGGAACCCATGTCCCCGTTAAACGCGCGGGGGCCTCCAGGAGCGGCAACCGCTGCAGCGCGGCCGACGGGTCGGTTGCTATGAGCCATGGGCAACGGGCCATCGTGCGCAAAACGAGAGGGGGTCAACAGTGAGGGGCGTGCCCACCGAGGTAGCCGGCGCTAAACAGGCGCACGGGTCTGCGCGCGAAATGGTAGACTCTGGGGATCGCGCAGTCTGATGTCGAGACAGGAATGGGCGAGCGCGAGGCAACGGGGCAAACAGCGACGATCTACAAGAAAAACGGCACGGCAGAGTCCAGTTCCCCATCCGAGCCCCGCAATGTGTTGCGAGCGGAGGAAGGGGGGGGGGCGAGGAAGGCGGAGGAGGCGGAGGGGGTCAGCGAGGAGAAGTGCGAGGTTTTTCCAGCGCAGGGAATTTGCATTGCGGGCCAGCGCCATTGAGTCTGGCTGGGCCCGTCGGCCCGAGTCAGAATCCAGCCAAGGTGAATTTGGAGGGCGGCCAGGGGGGAGAGGGCGGAGGGAAGCGAGTCCAGCGACGTCGAGGGCTCGCTGGTAGGAGACGAGGCTAAGGCGCCCAAAAGAATCGAACGCGACATGGGGCCAGGACAGGAGGGGGTCGAGTTGCGCGGCTCAACTCGCCGCCGCATCGGAGTCGACGCCCCCGCTGCGTCAGGCGGGCGGCAGGGCGGGGGGGGCCGCTCAGGCGGCAAGTGCAATCCAGGAGGCAAGGGGCATCTGCGATCTCGAGTGACCACATATGGTTGAGTTGTAAGACGGGATACAGAGGAGGAGGAAAATGGGACCCGTTTCTAGTTATGATTTGCCGGGTTATTAAGTTAACCTCGGGTCGCGTTTTCGTCTGAAGGGAGTGGGCCCCGAGTCGGTCGAAGTAGTTTGACATGTGATTCTGTTCGCCGGCAGCAGGATAATCGCTTTCAAAAGCGATGGCGAGTCGCCCGTGGCGGCGCGCGAGGAGGCCGCCGCAGCTTCGAGCGACTTGGGCATGGGAGTAGAGGCGAGCCATGTCGGGGGTGAAGTCGAGAGGGCGATGGGGACCATGGAAGCTCAAACATGGTTTTTACATCGTGCTCTGGACGTCAAGTGTGTAAATGTGTTCGGGGAAGAGCGCGCGCTAGGCCGCGCTGAGTTGCCGGCGCATCTTCCCTCGTCAACATGCTCGCTATTGGCGCCGCAGGAAGAACAGATTCAATGAGGCGCTGCCCGATTTGGGGAATGCGCCGTGCATCTGAAGCCCCCCCCCCCCCATAAAAAAGGGGAGCTCGAACCTCTTCGCGAGATGGGGGGCGGCATGTGTTTGGGGGTGTTCGAAGCAGGCCAGGAGTGAGTCATCTGCGCTCGGCGCGGGCATGTCAAATCCCGCGAGTTCGGATCGTGGAAGGAAGCGGGGGGGGGGGGTCTGAAAGAAGTTCGCAATGTGCGGGGGCCACCGTGGCATGCGGATCCGGGCGAACCTGGAATGGGCGTTGCAGCCAGGGCGAGATTGCCCGCGGCGGTGCCCGGCGAAGGCTCGACCGTCGACGCCGGGCCGTTCGTGGTCGGAGGGGCTGCTGTAAAGCAGTCGGAATGCACGGCTGCGGGGCCGATGCCCGGGCCTGGTGGTTGCGGGGCCATCGTTGCGGGGGATGGCGCGCGCCCCGCGTGGCCCAGAATGTCGCGACAGAGTTTTCGAGCGGCTTGCAGGGCAGGGCAATCCGAACATGCTGGAGGGGTTGGCGGCGGCCCGAGAGGGCGGGCCTCGGCGGCCCCGGGCGCGGCGAGAACAGGGGGGGGCAACTTGCTGGGCAACTGGGCCTTGAAAGACGGTTTAGCCATTCAACAACACCGCGAACCCAGGACTAAAATGCATGCGCTCAGAGACATAGGCGCGAGACCCCCCGGAATGCCGAGCAATTAGAGACGAAGGCGCGTAATCTATCAGGACGCAGGCGAGGTGGAGTGCGCGACCGTCGGTTGGAAGGACAAATGCGAGGTTCCAAGCTATGGGCGCAGACGCGGGGGCGCACCAGCATCAGCCGCAGTCGGCGAATGGGGGCAGGGCCC